TAATCCAAAAAATCATGTAAGTCATCTGTCAGTTCACGAGTTTGCTCACAGAGCACTTTGATTTGTATTTGTTGCAGTTGCCAACCTGACTGTGGTGACAAGTGATCGTAAGTATAAATAATCGTCTTATATGTCTGCATTTTAATCCACAGATTTAGTCTTTGTTTAAGTCAACTGAGATTCTCATTCTTAGTAAAGATATGGTAAGGAAAGCGCTAGTTTGAAACACATCTGCAATTTCTATTTTGCTTGGAGTAAGAAACCAAAAGAGTAACTGAAGGATACCATTTCTTTACAGCCTGCAGCCCTGCTGGAAAGTCCATTCATGCTACCAGTGGTCACATTTCAAGCCCCAATTTTCCCAACAACTATAACGCAAACAGGATTTGTACCTGGAATATCACAGTACCCGGTGGAAAAACCATCAAACTGACCTTCTTGAACTTTACCCTGGTAGCAGGTGAAAACGATGACTGTGCTGGAGCGGCAGCAGACAGTGCCCGAGTCTTTATCACAAACGTTGCCTCTCATGGAGGAAAACCCAATGACTTTAAGATCTGTGGTCAAAAGCTTCCCCCTCCTGTGTACTCCGAGGGACATTTCATTCAAGTGAGATTTGAGTCTCGCACCGGCCTTGTAAACAAAGGGTTCAATGCAATCTTTCAGGCGATAGATGGAGATTCAGGTAAGAGCTTATCTTCTAGGGTAGTTTATAACCGGAAGTATAGAAGTGTACTGAGCATGTACCCCTATTCAACTGAGCGAGAATTTGTTGAGTATATCATGCAAGTAATACAGTAGGCAATCTTTGAACAGCTATAGTCTGTAGAAAAATACTGCATATAATCAAGCCTTTTACTCGAACGCAAGCTGCTATATTACACAATCGTTATATTGATTAAAGTATAAAACTGTCAACTTACTGAAAAAGAGCTGTAGGCGGTATCGAAAATTCATTAAGTTTTTTACAGTAGGTTAGATGCATTTTACTAAAGCTGGCAGTCTTTGTTATTCTTTTCAGTGTGCCCAACAGATATGATCCTCGATGAAACTTCAGGTTCCTTCTCCTCTCCTTATAATCCAAGAAACTATCCATTCAACCAGACATGTAGCTGGAAGATTATAGGGAAACAAGGATACCGTGTTGAGCTCACAATACCAGACTATAATCTTGAACGTTGTGATGGCGCTGCTTGCTCGTGTGACTACATGGAAGTTCAGAGTAGCTTCAGTGACCAAGTGCTGCCTAGAAAACTATGTGGTACACCAATGGTTATTCCTGTAAAATTTTATTCCCTGCACGAAAGCTTGAGGGTGCTGTTTGTGTCCGATGATACAAAGATGGATTATGACGGATTTGGGGCAGCTTACAAGCTGTTGAACTACAGTCCTCCAAGTAAGTAGAGACAACAACGTCATGAGATCTCAGAGTTCGCCGAGAGAATATGTTACATGCAATAAACTCACCCATACAGGTACGATAAGGAACGTAGTTAATAAGGGTGGAGGTTCTCTCTGTTATGAACTCGGGATGAATGCGCACATCTCTGATGTATAGTGTAAGCGGTGATGTAATGGGAAGCCATGCCAACACTAACTGAATTAAGGTGGTAAGTTTCCAAAGAAACTGTGGCACTGCGTCGGTCGAGAAGTATAATAAGATAATTTGGTTCCATCAACTGAGTTGATAATGGTCACCGTAACGAGTTTCAAATATTCATAGTCTTGCCTTAGGGCTACTCCCTTATAAACAGTTAGATTGCACGTTGCCGTGCGTCTGTTCAGGAAGAGATATTGGATGATGTCACCCTGTTTTCATCAGTGACAATTGGCAGCGACTCGTGTGCCACTCTTTCTTTCTTACCATGCATATTTTGACGGCGTCTGAGAAAGAAGCCATATATATATCACCAATCCATGTTTATTCTGGCTTATTCCAAGCGTTCTAGCCACTCAAACAGAGCGAAATAGCCAGGG